CGGGTGATCTACCCACCTCGGCCTCTCAAAGTGCTGGGATTACAGGCATGACCCACCGTGCCTGGCCTATCAAACTTTTATTATAGATGAAGATGTGTGTGGGGACACACTTCCACAGCTCTGGGTTTTGTCTTTCAGTGCAAAGCAGGTAGGGCCCCATGCTGGCTATGCCCCCAGCTTTTTTCAGGGAAGAGGGAGATGGTGATTGGAGGCCCCAGTACTCAGTGCTTAGCTGTGTGCCTGGAAGCCCAGGCTGACAGCAAGCCTCCGGAAGGGATCCATACGGACACCAGAATGATACCGCAAAAGGGTCATCCCTTCCACTTTGCCCCCAGAGGGCATGTGGGAACACTGGCCAATCTAAAACCCAAATATTAGTCCAGTCAGCATCTCCTGACCCTGCAGAGGTAGAATACTTGCACAGAATTCAACAGGTTTTGCTTTGCTAACACAACTGGACATCTTTTGTTCTCTTCTCTGCTCAATCCCTTCACATCCTTAGAGTCAAAACTCAAGAGTCCAATGCACAGAGAGTTATAATGCCACAGCTGTGCAATAGTCCATTCCATGCTTGACTGCTGGCTGCAACGAAAAGTTATTTAGCTCTTCTTGGGTCTCAGTCTCTCCATCTGGAAAATGGGACATAGTAACCCTCAGTCCTCCTCTCTCCTCAGCGATGTCATGCTGAATTCATTACATATAAAGTAGGACATTGTTTTATGGTCTTCTAATGTCAAGATTGCTTGCTTCAAGTACACAAGCTATCTCCTGAATGTCTCAGCAAGCTGTCCCATACTGAATGCATCATCAGTATACTCCTGAATTCATGTCCAGTACTTCACTTTACTTCACAGGATCTCACTGGATCCTCACAATCACCTATTTCAATGATGATGTCAGGTAGCTTGCTCCCTTACACCATCAATAGCAGAACCAGGACCTGAACCCAGATCTTCTGAAATCCATCCCCTCTGAGGTAGATAGAATGGGGAAAAGGGTGTGTGTAAAATTTAAGATATTTTTTTAAAATAAGAGCAACAGGGCCAGGCGCAGTGGCTCATGCCTGTAATCCCAGCACTTTTTGGAGGCTAAGGCAGATGGATCACAAGGTCAGGAGATCAAGACCATCCTGGCCAATGTGGTGAAACCCCATCTCTACTAAAATACAAAAAATTAGCCGGGCGTGGTGGCACGCGCCTGTAGTCCCAGCTACTTGGGAGGCTGAGGCAGGAGAATCGCTTGAACCCAGAGGCAGAGGTTGCAGTGAGCCGAGATCGCACCACTGCACTCCAGCCTGGGCAACAGAGTGAGATTCTGTCTCAAAACAGTAAGAGCAATATTAAAATTACTCCCTATGCCTGGGTGGGCTTCGGTCAGTGGTTCTCAACCTTAGCTATGTATCAGAACCACCTAACAACCTTAAACAACATAGATGCTCTGAACTCATGATTGATACACATCTAGGACACCGAGAGCCTAGGCGCAATGACTCCCAATAGCAATGAGCACACCCAACATTGCAGATCTTGGTTTCTCAATGCTACTCCCCACACTAAGAAGAACCAGGGCTCCTTGGAGAAACAGCGGATTCAGGGGTGGGGTAAGGAGAGTCCAAATGTGAACCTGAGATAATGTGTTGTACTAGAACCACAGCAAAAGGGCAAAAGAGTTTGCCTGAGGGGACTCCTACTGGCCAAAATTGGGGACAATTTGAACATCAAAAAAATGATAATCTGTACACAAAACCCCCATGACATACCGTTTACCTATGCAACAATCCTGCACATGTACTCCTAAACCTAAAAAGTTAAAGAGAAATAATGGATTATATATAGTTCACTGAATAAAAAGAATCTATTGAGACCTCAAAATAAAAAGAAGACAAAAAAGGCAAGCTCTCCTTTAGAGAAATGCAGGCTATTTCACACTGCTGATGATTAAAAAGAGAGAGAGACAGAAAGAGAGAAATGCAGGCTAATATAGATAAGACAGACATAAAGAATTGCTAGTTTGCAGTCCCCAACATGTAACGATGAACAAGGCAAAAACAATGGATGCCGAAATAAGTGAACAGTTTTTGGAGAGCCATATAAAGTATTAGCCCACAGACTATGAATTACAAATGGGAAAATACACACACACATTGTGGAGAGATCTGGCCATCACCACCTTAACCAAATGATCAAGCTTATTATCAATAGTGGGTCAACCTTGGCTGGACACAGGGGCTCATACCTGTAATTTCAGAACTTTGAGGGGCCAAGGCAGATGGATCACCTGAGATCAGGAGTTCGAAACCAGTCAGGCAAACGTGGCAAAACCCTGCCTCTATTAAAAATATAAAAATTAGCCAGGCATGGTGGCACACCTGTAGTCCCAGCTACTCAAGAGGCTGAGGCACGAGAATCACTTGAACCCAGGAGGCAGAGGTTACAGTGAGCTGAGACTGAGCCACTGCACTCCAGCCTGGGCAACAATGAGACTCTTGTCTCTAAAAAGAAAAATGTGGGCCTTTAACATGAGCCTTGTAATGTGATGCAGTAAGTATATATCTACATAGGGCTCTTGTCAAATTTAAGAGGCATTCCTTATGAATCATGAGGAAATGGTAAATATAAATTATGGAACTTTATCCAAGACAACTGTTCTAGCTAAATTATTCAATAAAATCAATGTCATGAAAGACAAAGGAATGTGTGTGGAGGGATGGGGTCTGTTGTAAAATAAGACCCTTAAGAGAAATGTTAACACGTGAACCTTTGACTCTGGATCAAAAAAATTAAAATGCTGCCGGGCGCGGTGGCTCAAGCCTGTAATCCCAGTACTTTGGGAGGCCGAGGCGGGTGGATCATGAGGTCGAGAGATCGAGACCATCCTGGTCAACATGGTGAAACCCCGTCTCTACTAAAAATACAAAAAAACTAGCTGGGCGTGGTGGCACGTGCCTGTAATCCCAGCTACTCAGGAGGCTGAGGCAGGAGAATTGCCTGAGCCCAGGAGTCGGAGGTTGCGGTGAGCCGAGATCGTGCCATGGCACTCCAGCCTGGGTAACAAGAGCGAAACTCCGTCTCAAAAAAAAAAAAAAAATTAAAATGCTGTTAAGATTTTGGATATGGGGGAAAACTGAATACAGGTTGAGTATCCTTTATCCAAAATGTGTAGGACCAGAAATATTTCAGATTTTTGCGTCTTTGCATTATACTTACAGGTTGAGCATCCCAAATCTAAGAAATCCAAAATCTAAGCTCCTCCAATAAGCAATTCCTTTGAGCACCATGTTGGTACTCAGAAAGTTTCAAGTTTTGGAGCATTAGAGATTTCAGGTTTTCATATTCGGAATGCTCAACTTGTTTAAGCTATATATAAGATTAAGAAATTGTTAATTTTGGCTGGGTGCAGTGACTCACGCCTGTAATCCCAGCACTTTGGGAGGTTGAGGCAGGCGGATCATCTGAGCTCAGAGTTTGAGGTCAGCCTGGACAATATGACAAAACCCTGTCTCTACTAAAAATATTTTTAAAATTATCTGGGCGTGGTGGCTGGTGCCTGTAATCCTAGCTACCCAGGAGGCTGAAGCAGGAAGATCACTTGAACCTGGAAGGTGGAGGCTGCAGTGAGTTGAGACCGTACCACTGCACTCCAACCTGTGCGACAAGAGCAAAACTTCATAAAAAAAAAAAAAATTAATTTTCTTAGTGTGATAAAGATATTGTGATTACAGAGAATATCATACACGGTTTAGGAGGAAAGAGTTGCAGGCCAGGTGTGGTGGCTCACGCCTGTAATCCCAGCATTTTGGGAGGCCGAGGCAGGCAGATCACGATGTTAGATTGAGACCATCCTGGCCAACGTGGTGAAACCCTGTCTCTACTAAAAATACAAAATTAACTGGGCATGGTGGTGCGTGCCTGTAATCCCAGCTACTTGGGAAGCTGAGACAGGAGAATTGCTTCAACCCAGGAGGCAGAGGCTGCAGAGTGCCAAGATCATGCCATTGCACTACAGCCTGGGCAACAAGAGCCAAACTCCATCTCAGAAAAAAAAAAAAAAAAAAAAGAGTAAAGAATTGCAATGTCTGTGACTAGCTTTCAAGTGGTTTAGCAAAATCAATCTATAATGAGAAAGGTAACTGTGACAAAATGTTATTACCTGGTGAATTTTGGTAAAGGATCTATGGATGGCAACCAAATACTTCTTTCGGCTTTTCTATGGGTCTGAAATTTTTACAAGTTAAAAGTAAAGGAAACAATAGAGATCCTTTGACTATAATTTCAACTGAATTAGCATTTTCTGGATTAGAGCTCAAGAACCTTTATTTTTCACAAGGTCATCCAGATGATTCTGACACATATCTAGAGGATCATTGGTCTTTGGTTTCTGCTACATCCTTCTGTAGCCAGAGAAAAGTGAGACGAAGAAATGCTGTAATTCTCTCAGTAGAATTGGCTCGGCTGGTGGCCAAGAGCCTTTTCCCTGATGATTCCACAAGCCAATTATCTCAGACATAGTCCGAATGGCCTCAGAGTCTTAAGACTAGATTTCCTATGGAGGAATCAAAGTACTAATCCTACCCTGGGGGCCTTGGCTGCTGTAAGAAACCAACCTCTGACCTTCCCAGAAATACAAGCTTCGGGGCAATGAAAGCCCTGATTAGAGCGGAGGCAAGCCAAGGTGCTGTCAGGTTGGTAAGGGGAAACCCACCTGGTGAGGGATCCAGCGTTTTGCCAAGAAATTCAATTTAATACCAAACGGGATTTATCTGGGCAGAACAGGCAATTTGTTAACATTTAGTGACTGTTACACACCTGAGATGGATGTCACTACTAACAACCCCTGCCATAGGCTTAAGCATTGCATCCTCCGTCCCCAAGAGCAGACAGTTGGTTTAATGTCTGTTCTAAGAAACCTGAGGAAAAATGAAGCCAGACTGATGATGGGACAATTTAAACAAATACAAGAAACTAAAAACCAGAAAAGAAAAAGTGAGGTTTCCATACAGCTACTGTGAATTACTTTTATTGAAGAAACAAATGTTCACTAGAAAAGCTGAATACATCCCTCTACATGAATACAGAACTCAGAAGAGGGGAAATGGAGGTGGGGAGCCATCCAAGTTATAAAGGGTAGAAAATGAATGCAAGCTTCTCAGAACTCTTCCCAGGAACACAGGCAATGCTCGCAGTTTCCTGGGTACCCAATGGGCAGGGAAGATCAGGAAGAGATCCACAGGATGTAAGGAAGTTGGATTACTGCCCGTAACAGCCAAGATGTCCCCTCTACTTCTCCCACTCCTTCTTTTGGCTGTGGGAGACTTGACTCTTAGCTGATCCACTAATAACAGCTGGAACACTCCCCTAAAAAGCTAGCTTGGCTTCCTGGGCAGCCAGTCCTTCAGGGGCAAGGCTGTTAAACTCTTGAGGGTGTCACTGCTGCAGGTCCCCCCTCAGCACACAGAGGACAATCCTCACCAACACACCACCAACCACTCCACTGGCAATTCCTATTCCCAAGGCTGACGCCACCTTCTTTTTCCACTCTGGGCGGTGAGGCTTGTAGTAGTTGTCCAGATTAACTTCCAATCCCACATCTATTAACTTCTGATCCTCAGTAAGTGACTGATGGAAATTCAGGTTCACCAAGTTAGGAGGAAGGACCCTCAGCCCAAAATAGAGCCTCTTGACAAGTCTTAAGTTTTTTAACAGCTGCACATCACATCGATATGTCCCAGAGTCATACTCCTGAGCATATTTAAACTTCAAAAAGTGGGAGTTGGCTCGGAAAGGTTTGAAGACCTCATCGTCAGTTGAGATGATACCTCGAGCAAGTCTCCAGGTGAACCGGAAAGCTTCCTGTCCAATCTCTAGGATGTCTGAACTCAGACAGCTAAGCTCAAATTCCTTGCCAATGAGAATGGTGAAATGAAGCATCCCACAGATCCAGTTGGTCAGACATTCCAAGCGCTGAGTCTGACATTTCCTTCTCACTCCATCAGGGCCCACCTCACAGACAGTCTCCTCCTTATAGCCTAGGCCACAGGTGACAGTACAGGTTGTGGCATTGATGATAACTTTCCCCACAGCTTCTTGAAGCTTCTCAGGGATGGCCAGTGTTTTAGGTGTAGTAGCCACCAAAGGCAGGTAGAAGGCCAACCCCAGGCTCCCAAGGGCGAAACTAGTGGCCAAAGCCTTCATGTCTCGGTAGCCATTGTGCCACCCGCAGCTAGTGCCCCCAAGGTATTCCCGCTGAATCCTCTACAGTATCGTAAGTTGATTCCCTTGACATGAGATATCCTTCAAAGTCAAAAGATAGGATGCATGTATTGTCAATAAAACAAGACAATTTAATAAATAAAAGTCCAGTCCTCACCTGTTATTAACAGGTGAGGCCACAACGCAGGAAAAAAATCGCACTGGTGGTGCTTTACTATCTATCGTTATGAATAACCACCTGACAAGTCTTCATTCTTTTCACTTTTTTTTTTCGAGACAGGATCACACTCTGTCAACCCAGGCTGGAGTGCAGTGGCATGATCAAAGCTCACTGCAGCCTCAACCTCCTAGGCTCAAGCGATCCTCCAACCTCAGCCTCCTGGGTAGCTGGGACTACAAGTGTAGCCTACCACGCCCAGCTAATTTTTGTATTTTTTATAGATACGGGGTTTCACCATGTTGCCCAGCCTTGTCTCCAACTCCTGGGCTCAAGCAATTTCAGCCACTTCAGCCTCCCAAAGTGTTGGGATTACAGGCATGAGCCACTGCACCTGGCCCTTTCTATGTTCGTTTAATGACTTTAAATCCACCTCTTGGGAAGACAAGAAGAAAAGACTTCAGAAACAGAGGGAAATTTCCAAATTACCTCAAATGTACAGTGAAGTTACTCTTCCTCACCCATTACCCTTGCCCTGTATAAACTAGGATCTAAATTAAGGGTTTCAAAAGCTCCAGTTAAATGTCACTAAATAAAACAAATATTAAGTCTACAAAAAGGAAGGTTAACTTGAATTATTGACTTTAATGCTCCTAAACCTCCTATAAAAAGGATTAAGAACTCTGGACTGGGAGGCAAGTAACTTACCCTTCCTGAATTTCTGTTTCCTCCTTTGTAACTTAAGACTTCCTTGCCTATCTGAGGAAGGTCACTTAGAGCATTGAATGATATACTGTATGTGAAAACACTTTGTAAAGTGTGAAACACAGTTCAATGGGTAAGGAATTTTAAACAGAAATGGAAATTCATAAAGACAAGGGCCAGGATGACCTTTTCAAATCAGAATGTTTAAGGTTATGTTAAAGGCAGCTCCTCTCCCCCTTTTAGGCACTCTTCCTTCCCAAGGATACTGAAGATGTATTTTGGGTGAGAGGATGCACGATGCTCCCTGACTCTTGGTCTACTACTCCCTCTACCCTTACAGAACAGAGCTCATCACTCACTTAGGTTAAGGTTGCTATGAAACAGCTATGATGTCAAAGATGGAGTTCTCAATCACATAAAAGATTAATAAGTAGACACTCAAGTTTGACATTAAAGATTTAAATAGACTTTGTGAAACTTCTTATCTTTAGGAGACAATAAGCATTTAATGAATTTTAAAGCTACTTCATTAAAAAAAAGAAAAAGGCTAATAAGAATTTAACCGTACTTACTTAGACTTGAAGAAAGATCCTTGGAAGGCAGGAACTTCCTAGCATGCATTTTTGTAACCTCCATAATGCCTAGCCCTACGGGCTCTTCAGAGTAATTACAAAACTCTACTGAGTTATAGAATTGGAAGGAAGAGAGATCATTCCTAGACGATCTCTTCGAACAACAACTTTTCTGCTTGCATTATTTATTTATAATCTCATCGAGAGGCAGAAATGGACCTATCCTCCACTCCCTACTCTTTCTACATCTATCTTTCCACACCGAAAGATCTAATATCAGCACAGGAAAGCACATTTTCCTTTGTACTAAAGCAAAGTAGTCAGTGAGTTTCAGAAGTGAGCAGTGTTTACAAATAAACATCTACACCTGTTCTTTAATAAACATCCAATTTTATTTACAAAGCATTAAAGCTTCAGCAAGAAGTACCCAAGGCTAAGTCTCATCTTGTACAAAACTACAGATTTTTTTTTTTTTTTTTTTTTTTTTTTTCCCAGATGGAGTCTTGCTCTGCCGCCCAGGCTGGAGTGCAGTGGCATGATCTCAGCTCACTGCAATCTCTGCCTCCCGGGTTCAAGCAATTCTCCTGCTTCACCCTCCCGAGTAGCTGGGATTACAGGTACCCACCACCACACCCAGCTAATTTTTGTATTTTTAGTACAGATGGGTTTTCACCATGCTGACCAGGCTGATCTCGAACACCTGACCTCAGGTGATCCACCTGCCTCGGCTTCCCAAAGTGCTGGGACTACAGGCGTGAGCCACCGCGCACAGCCCAGAGTATTTTTAAAAACAAAATGTTGGGAGTGGCAGGGCAGGGATGACAAAAAGGAAGAAGAGAATATACATATATTGTACAAATCAAGAAATTCAAACTGAAATGGATAGAAGGCTTCAAAAGTTGAAAAAAATTCCGAAAGCATAAATAATTATTAGGAGCTACTGTCAAAGACAATTTGACAGGGCTGAAGATTTTCTCAGTAGCCAGTTTAGGAGGTGGACAGAGCACAAACATCCAAATGCACAGGCAGAGGAAACCAAGCTACTTCACACGTGGAAATATGGCAGAAACCCTCTAAGTCCCATAGTTTGCACACTGCTGCAGTGTACAGTGCAGAGGACTGGAATGGATACAATGTCTGTAAAACAAAAACATGTCTAGTGAACCCCCTACCAATCTCAACCACTAGCCTAACTCATGACAGTCTCAAAATGGGTATTTAAGAAAAAAAGTAGCAGCATCTAAAAATATAGACATTTTGCAACTGACTGAGGAAGAGCTCTCTCTTCAACTACTGAATATACTGGTTCTAAATGACGGAGTAGGACAAAGAGGCTCTTACTGATGTGCTCTACTTTGATTTCTATGCTAAAATCTAAAAGGTAATCAATGTGTTTGGCCACCTATAGGAGCATCCACCAACTTATTTATTTATTTATTTATTTATTTATTTATTTAGAGATGGAGTCTCATTCTATCACCTAGACTAGAGGGCAGTGGTGTGATCTCGGCTCACTGCAACCTCTGCCTCCCAGGTTCAAGTGATTCTCCTGCCTCAGCCTCCTAAGTAGCTGGGACTACAGGTATGCGCCACCACACCCGGCTGATTTTTATATTTTTAGTAGAGACGGGGTTTCACCAAGTTGGCCAGGCTGGTCTCAAACTCCTGACCTCAAGTGATCCACCCACCTCAGCCTCCCAAAGTGCTGGGATTACAGGCGTGAGCCACCGCGCCCGGCCCACCGACTGATATGTTTCACAGTAAGCACAGTATTTAAATTCTCCTCTTAAAATACTGGAAAAAAATAAAATAAAAAAAAAAAACAATCCAGGTTAAGCACTTCCAGTCAGCTATAAACTCCACTCAGAGAAGCTACTGAGCCCTTTCCACACCTGGTTTCCTGACAGGATTTTCAGGGAATTTCAAACACCTAATGTATACATCTATCTAATCTGCTATTTTTATATAAAGAACAACAAATGTCAAAAAAAAAAAAAAAAAAAAAAAGCTAAGCAACCTTTCACAGAAAGGAAGTGACTGAAAACACAGTAAGAAAAAGGAGCATAGGTATAGGAAGGGAAAAATACAATGACTGATGAGGACAGATTTCCACAGGAAGTGATAAAAAAAATTCACCTTGATCTTTGATTTGAACTATGCTGTTGCTGCTTTGATTCTGGACGGCTTTACTTTACTCCTTGCATAGATACCCCAACCCCAGTAAAAAAGTAGCTTGTTGAGAGACACCTTGGTTTGTATCCATCTCTGGAAGCCAGCACAGGTAAAGCAATATAAACTACTGATGATTCTTTGCTGGAGATGGATCAAACTAGCTATCTTCAAAAACCATGATTAATGACAGTCAACCAATATTGGAGGGAAAGAGGCAACGAGAGGAAAACAAGGGAAAATCCTGAATTGTTACAGCCCAGCTTCTTGCGCAAAATGTGGTATAGTAGGAAGAGAGGGCCTTCATTGTTCCCTTTCTGAAAATTCGAAATCTTTGAAGCACTTTCTTTTCTGCCCATCCTTTGCACACAATATGGAAACAGAGGAAGTATCTGGGGAGAGGATAAGTTTAAAATGAAAGTATGCAACAAAAGTTTTCCTAGGATACCAATAGCAAAATTTCAGATACGAAGTCACTCGAGGACATGCACTGAGGACAGAAGGCAAATGGGAGACAGGAAATGGCATGTCAAAATGACAGCTGGGTACAATAAAGTTAGATGAGCAAAACATAGGTATCTTTCCTCCAGCAACATAACTAAGCATCAAAGTTTAAATGAGTCAAAATTCCTATCTGATGTCTTCACAAATCTTCATTCCTGAGAGCCTATTTGGACTGATGCTTGAAAGGGAAGGGAAGGGACGTATACTCTTCTTCAATAATTCACTTCTTCATTTAAACATAAAATTCACTCCTTCCACCTCCTGGGTGGGAGGCACAGGCCTTTGTTTTAAATTAAAGTCAATTTTCAAATGACTGACCACAGTGTCCAGATACCACATGATGGCAAAGTGGGAAAGAATGAAGAACTTCGAGGGTCTTCATAACAGTTCTGAGATTGCTCCTCCTGCTAAAGAGATCAGACACAAAAAGACTTCTTTTAGCTTCAATTTAGACCATTTACTTGTAAGAACAGAAATACTGAACGCTGGATGATACATTACAAGCACACATGGACCAAGAATTTCCCCTTTTTAAGAAAAGTCATAACCAACTCCAACTCCCAGTTACTCTTTACTGAACAACAAACAATCCAAATCCAACCCCACCACCCACCAATACTTTCCTCAGTACTGTCCCAAAGGGTGGGGGGGAAAAGCAAAATGATCAGAGTTCTACATTTTTTCTAAGCTGCTAATCATTCTCTAAGGTGCTAACAAATAATGCTTAACATTCCAAAACGTGCAAAAAGTAGAGGAGAAGAAATTTTAGGGTACTACACCAAGTGATTAACAGATGAGCAAGACACCCTCTTCCCAGCACCACAGTTCCTTAAGTGACATACTTATCACCTTAGAATCCCAAATACGGTGAAATGTTCAGCTACACATTTCGACACACCAACGATGATCAATAACGATGATCAATAAATAATATCCTGAATAGTAAAATGAAATGAACACTTCCCTGATTATTCCATAGAAACTGCTCAACCTCTAAGAGACATCCTTAAATGAACCGCTGTGAAATATTAACTAGGAAGTGTAAAAAGAGAACAAAGTGAAGAAAATCCTCCCAGATGTCATTTGGAATGGCAGAGAGCATGCCACTTGAAGGTAAAATGGTTAAAAAATAATCACCAAATTACTGAAAGAAAAGTACCCATTTATATAACTTTGCTTTTAACA